TGAAGTCGCCATAGCCAATTGAGAGTGAACTCGTATCTGAAAGCCATATCTCTGAGTTTTGAGTGGGCGCATGTCGCCAGTACGCTGCGTTGCTGTTTACATGCATGAAAAGTGTGTTTGAGAACAAGTCAAATTGCAGAATATTCTCATCGGAATAAATCCGAATACTTGTCATTTCTGTTCGGAAGTTTCTTTCGCAGTTCTGGGATTCTGTCGTTCAGTCTATAAATCATTGGCAGTCTAAAGTCGAAATTTGTTTTCTCTATCAGTGATCATTTTGCACTTCAAGGGAGGTTGGGGGACCTACCGAACTTGCAAAAATCAGGATTTTTTATTTTTCTTGAAATTGTTTTGCAAAGTTTGAACTTTTCTATTTTGATTAGTGGCTCCTTATCTAAGTGTGAGTTGGGCGATTATCCCACCCACCCCTCCCCACCTATGTTGTTGCCATCTCTCGCCTTTCCGTTTCTGTTTGTATCCGGGTACCCCCTGCGGCGGCATTGGTGAGTTGCCACGTCGCAAGCCACGTGAGCAGACTACGTCAGTACCTCAGCAGGCCACGTCAGCAGGCTACGTCAGCAGGACACGTCAGCAGGACACGTCAGCTGTGCCACGTCAGCAGCAAGGGATACCACATCAGCAGGCCCCCGCTCCAGTCTATGCTGTTGCGATCTCAAACAGCAGTCATGGACCAAAGGCCCGGGGAAGCAGATGAGGCCTATCAGGCCCGCATGCTGGCCTGGAGTACCGAGACAAAGAAACGGGCAGATGACGCTGCAGCAGCAGCGAAGAAGAAGGCAAAAGATGCCGAGCAGGCACGTCTGTTGGCACTTGAACAGCAGCGCCAGCATGACGAGGCAGCAGCAAGAACTGTCGATGAAGAAAGAACCCAGCGTCGTGAGAAGATATTTACCGGAGAGCGGGTGTTACTTACCATGACAGCGGAATGGCGGACCGAGGCCGAGAATAGCCAGTTGGAGGATAGCGCAAACAAGATAGCGCTCCTCCTCTCGCATCTCACGGATCTCCTGGCAACCTCCATTACACAGCAGGCGGAGATCCTTGGTCTCGACAGCTCGCTGGCTCACGTCCAAGACCGCCTTCAGCGGTTAGAGCAGCGACATGTCGCCGCCGCCGACGCAAGCTCTTCCAATACTGTGGACCGCCTCAATGCATTGGAGATGCACGTCGGCTCCCTCCAGGACGGCGCAGAGTTACAGCACACCACGACGCAACAGTTGCAGCAGCGGGTCTGTACCACCGCCAACACCTCGAGTACGGAGCCGTGCGAGACAACTCCAAAGTTTGACAGGCAGGAGATCTTCTGCGACTCAATGAAGACAGATCCGATTCCATGGTTCCGCAAGTTCGAGCTCACGCTGCAGCTGTCCAACATCAAAGAACACAAGCACCACGCATACTTGTACTCTCGTTCAGGGGCCGCGTGCCAGGCTTGGTTGGACAACCTCTTGTCCAAGTACGAAGTAGTGGCAGCCGACTTGCACACCAAGATCAGTTGGGATGATCTGAAGGCGGCGTGGCACAAGCGGTTCCACGTGGACCCGCCAGAGATCAAAGCCGTGGACAAGCTCATGGTCTTCGAACAAGGCATGTTGCCGAGTACGGACTGGATCACCGAGTACCAACGCTTGATGTCAGTCCCAGACATCCAGATGGGCTTCAAGGCGATCCGCCATTACTTCATCTCAAGGTCATGTCCGACATTAAGCAATGCCCTGACTCATGTCGAGGACACCTTGACGACGACGACGGAGCTGTTCGACAAGGCCGCGCAGATCATCATCACGAACAAGGAGGCCAAGAACCTCCGTTCATCTGCGTCAGGCCCGAGCAGGGACCAGCATCGGCCAAGAGTGGTTGTGGTGGCAGCGACAACGCCGTTTGACCAAACCAGCGAGGCTGTCTCTGCCAGTGAAGGGGACAGACTCGCAGCCGCCCGGGAAGGTGGCCGCCCCGGCAGAGGCTGAGGACGCGGCAAGACGAAGACACACACCGCATCTAGCCCCGGGCCCGGTGCAGCAGCTCAGACAGGCCCATGGACCCGATTTGGCATCTCCGAGTCTGCATTCAAGGCGCGCGAGAGATTCCACTATTGCCTTTGGTGCAACAGCGATCTTCATCAGACGCAAGGTTGCCCATTGAAAGGCAAGGGCAGACAGGGAAACTGAGCACCGTCAAGAGTGACTCAACGACACTCTCGACGCCTTCAGAACCGGTTTTTTCGCGAGTAACCGGCCTTCATTCCGAGGTGCATGCGGAAGTCGATAGTCCTCCTCTTCTACTTTCTTTTGAGGACTAAGCTGCCCGGCTCGTTCCTACGCTGGGTACTCAAGTTGAAGGAGTGTGTGCGGTTTCTTCTCCGTCCGGCAACGGCGACATATCGTCTTCAAGTGGTTCATCACGGGATTCGGCGCGCGAGTTCAACATAGAGGCATTGGACCCTCTCACGTCCGAGGACTTTGCATGGCTTCCTCTCCCGACCACATGCCGCTAACCGGGACCGCAATGCGTAGCACTTAGCGCCAATCTTCACACTTACTTCTCCTTCTATGCACCACCAACTTCGCCGACGGATGACGAAGTCGCGGTGGGGGACATCCTGGCATATACTACCAAGGTGGCCCGCGAGTTTCGCACGCAGCGGTACGATGACAACAACGCACCGCTCATGTATGTCCGCATTCAGGTTGGGCAAGCGTCCTGCAGCGCTTTGCTGGATAGTGGCGCGTCTCGCAATTTCATGAGCCAATCCTTTATGCAAAGGGCTGGCCTTGGCGCACAAGTTCGGAGGAAGGCAGACCCGACGACGATCAAGTTGGCGGATGGAAAGACGCAACAACTTCTTGACCGTTACATCGAGGCCGTACCGGTCTACTTCGCTCGTCATGCATGCGAACCGGTGACATTCGATATTCTCGACACGGACTTCGACATCATTCTGGGAATGCCTTGGCTTGCAAGTGCGGATCACACGGTCAACTTCCATCGGCGGACTCTTAGCGTTCGCGACGCCTTCGGCGCGGAATTGGCGTGTACTATTCCTCTATTGCACTCTTCGATCCGGTGCCAAATGGCCATGACCATCTTCTTTTCTTGCGTCAGATGCAAGAGTTTCTTGTCAAGGCACACGACCAGATGGCTAAGACGCAGCAGCGCATGAGCCAGCAGGCCAATCGCCAGCGTCTTCCTTGTCCATTCCGCGTCGGGGACCTCGTCTGGGTTTCCGCCGCGGAATTCGGCCTTGAACAAGACGTCTCTCGCAAGCTCCTTCCGAAATGAATGGGGCCTTGGCCGATCATAGAGCCCATTGGGGACGCACCCGAAGGACCCTCCTTCACGATTCAGGTGCCTAGCCACTTGCCCGTCTACCCAGTCTTGCATTGCTCCAAATTGGCTCTCTACACGCCAGCAGACCATGACGATTTTCCCGGGAGACGTACGCAAGACCCGCCTTCTATGGATGGTTTTCAGGAGGTCCGCGACATCATCTCCCAGCGACGCTATGGCAACAAGCCATTTGAGTATTTGGTGCATTTTGCATACTGCACACACCGAGCTGACCGATGGTTAACCCGTGCGGAACTTCAAGCAACAGCTCCAGATGTTCTCGCACGCTACGAACGCAAAATGCAAGGCAAGTCGGTTTCTTCGGCTCCACACCGCGCCCACGTCCAGGTTCCACCTTCAGATCGACGGCTTCGCCCTCGCCCCGGCTTGACTTCATAAGGAGTGGGGGGTGTTACATGCTGCGCGTGCACACGCAGGCCATTTTGCATGCCTGCGTCCTTCAGGCCAAAAGCCTGAACTTCAGGCCGAAAGCCTGAAATCCAGGGCTTACAGGCCCCATGTCGGTTCAGCCCGAAAGCCTGAATTCCAGGGCCTATCCCTGTGTCGTTTCAAACTAAAAATGGCAACAGCCTTTTTAGCCTGAAACGAAGGGCCATTTTCGGTCGTTCATCAGAACGACCGGCCCTGAAACTCAGGCACCGAACCAGGGTTTCGGGAACAGACTATTATTAGTCTGTTTCCCACGCCAGCCTCAGCCGGCTGCTGCATGCCAGCCCCTGGCACACTTCGGCATTGGCAAGAGCTGCCTCCTCGGCCTGACTCGCCCTCCAATAGTCAGGAGGCAGGCCGAGGTAGTACATAGGACTTCCCAGGCACTTCCGAGGTAGGCAGTCCGCAGTTGTGGTCTTCAGGATTCGGGAGCAGCACTCTGGAGGTAGCGCTGCAGTGTAGTAGTAGTAGCGTTCGCTCGTAGTCTTCAGCGCTGGGCGCAATAGGTAGCTGTAGTCTCCAGCGCTGGGCGCCATAGCTAGGTAGTACTAGAGAGAGAGAGAGAGCTTGGGCGGAGGCCAGAGGTACCTACCTGCAGCGCCGTTGCCCCAGCTTCGTCTTCGAGGTACCTGCAGCACAGCGCCAACATCACAGGTTAGTATCTGGTTCATAACAGTGTGAGAGAGAGAGAGTTCTTCTTCTTCCTCTTCTCAGTCCACCATCTTCTTCTCTCCCTCTCAACTTCTGACTTCCTTGCATCTGCAGACTACGAGAGAAGAGAGACAGAGCTTGGTGACATTCGAATCCAGACTCGACTTTGGGACTTCAGACATGGTAACGAGGGATTATTTGGGATTGGTGACAAAGGCTTGGTGTTGACGACATTCACATCTTTCTCCCTCCTTTCGTCCGATCCCTTCCTCTTCGTCTGTGTATGTCTGGACCTGGCGCTTTCTTCCTGGGAACAGCGCCAGGCTCTTTCACACATGGTGATGGGTACGATGCATGTTTGGTCTGAGTTCAAACATCGATTGGACTAGTTATTAGTATTCTAGCATTCTGCTTCGCTACTTTGTACCTACGTGAGTGAGGTCA